GATGTATGACGAGCTCATACATGATGCATTAGATTCAGCCGAGCCATAAACATATTCAGATTGTACATAAGATATCAGGGATTGTTGCAGAGTACGAAATGAGTCTTCATCAAGAGGTTCGAACCTGTAAGATAAGCAATAAATCAGAGTCATTCCAACTTCATTATATATGAAAATAAAGGCGGGTTGTCATGTTTAATATCCTCAACCTGCAAATAAAACCAAAAGCACTTACCGATTGTCAAAGAACTCATCTAGCAAGCGTAAAGAATAGAACCTGACTGATTCGGGGTATTTATTACCCTCCGAGGTCATGCCCGTGAACGCCGTTAAGGCCAGTCGCCACGTTTCGTTCGCATTTTGGCGGAGGTTGGAGAGGTATTCAAAGGCCTGCTGGTGGAGATGACTTTGCAAGGGTTCAGACGCAATGCAAATTGCCTCCACATAATGGGGAATTTCTTCTTCCATTGCTGTAGCTGAATCGTCTACCAAACACGGCACGTCCCCGGATGCTCGCGGTCAGTTGGTTTGGAGCACGAGGAGATTTGATAAAAGCCGAAGATTTTAGAAATGAGTAGGGTTCGTGAAAATTTGTCAAAAGCAAACGTCGTGAGCCGTGTCAATGCTGGTCACTGGTGTGGTGACTCTACTAGTAGCTGATCACGATTGCAGTGGCGGTGTAAATTTATGCTTTCAACGCATCACGTGGCTTACGTTAGACGAGCTTCTCGTCATCTGTACAGGGGTTTGAATCAGTTCACCATTCGACTCGAGGAGGAGGATGACACTAAAAATGTGTAGTGGAAGGAAGATTACTAGTTGAACATGCAAGTAGGATCCAAAAGTCCTAAAAAGCAATGGCAAGTGGAGAAATTGATGCTGAAAGCTGGTATGGATGCAAGAAAAATTATTGAAAAATAGGCCAGACACTGAGTCTACATACATCCTCCAGGCAATCAATAAGTAATCTATACTCAAATTTTGTACTTCAGTACCAGTAGATTCAAGGTAGGGAAATACAAGTGTATGTACAAGTGTTTAAACTTTTAGTACAAAGAGAGTGCAGTGTATCCAAGCATTTTTCACTTGTCAAATTCATTTTTCTAATTGAGTGCTAAAACTACTATTTATTCAATATTCATCCCTCACAAGTTGGTAAACAATAAGAAACAGAATACGAGTGGCCTTTTGCCCAGTTCTCTGATTTAGCTTGAATAAGTGGGAATGCTAAGACCTGATGTTTTCCAATGAGTGTGGCACTGGGATGTACAGATCTCAAAATATTGTAGTTTACTGATTGGCAACCATGGACCACTGGTTTTGCCAATAACAGTACCGTATACATCACATGAACTCAAAACGAAGTAGATGACAATACCCAAACCAAACACTGATCAGACTTTGAAAATTCGTGCGACTTAGCGGCAAAGTCAAAGTGTAAAACCGCCACCATAGCTCACTCCTACACTGCTTTAACCCTTGATGTTTATAAGGTGGCATAGGGGGTGAGCACGAAACTTACTCGTAACCATCAATGCTCGAGCCGAGAGTAATTGTGATTCTATCCCTAAAAGTAGGATAGAATTCGATGGAACGACGGAATTTTTATTGAAATGTGATCGCAGCATGACTAAAATGATGGCTCACGCTCGCCGGCCGCGAGCTTAGGTCGCCTTGAAAAATTAGCAGCCATTTTAGCCTGGGAGTATTTCCAAAATCGAGGGCATCCACTTTATGAGAAAGGTCTCCCTTCGTCTGTGACTGGGGGAGACTAGGGCGCCCACGATTGAACGACGGCAATCCCCTAGTTCAACAGCAAGTCTACGGATCCTATAGTATGCTGCAGACCACGACACGTCTACGTGTTTGGCCATGCATGTTCAACGTGGGGCTACTGGAACATTGCGTATGACTCACCGTGAGCCAAAGACAGGATATTGATGTTCTCTACGTCTAGTCAGACATGAAAAAATCGCAATCAGTACATCTGTGACAGCTATCAGCAGGATTGTGATGGCATGCTCGAAGCTTTCTGCCTTCAAGTAATATCAAAGAGAGGATTTTCGGATTTTCGACGCTGCATAGCCCCATGGATATGTATGTAAGACCACTTGGTAATTCAAAGACCGCAGCACGCTGCGTGAGAGTGGCATGCCTACTTCACCCTAATTGAGTCAATCAAGCGTGCAAGCGGCAATAAAAAGCCCTCCACCCCTTTCAATTGAACGATCACCATGGATCCTTTACAACCCAAGCACTCACTTGCCCATATACATGAACCCACTGACAATTCAACACTTTCTGAAGTAGAAAGCCTATCTGACTCTGAGTGGCTCGATGTTGCCAGTGGCCGTGAGTCTGATAGTGACTCGATCTATTCGTCCAGGGGGACAGATCAAGGACGCACATCTTCACGTTCGCGGTCAAGACGTTCATCATTTAGCTATGGAAGTTCCAGAGACGGAGACGTCGATGCCTGGGAAGGCTTAATTGATGACAGCGCCGACGAGGGGCTAGTACCCGATACCGTCCGCCTATCCGGCTCTCCACTCGCCTTCTTTACTACTCCGACTGATGATGATGTCGGTGATGTTACAGAAGAGCAGCGTGTTAAAGAGGGTCTAGATCAGAGTATGATCAGTACTCTGAGCTCCTCTCGCTCAAGCTCGGTTCACGCATCCACTGTGATTACGTCGTCGCGCGATCTGCGCCTATCCTTCCCGGATCCCATTTTCAGTTCCCATGAAGAGCTCTCCAGCACCTCATCCGAGAACATATCATCGCCTTCCTCTGGTGCCATGTTCTCTGGCCCGGACCCCGATGTCACCGTGCATATCACGGACCCGGGAGGACCGGACCTGTCTCACGCGCCCGGGAGCTCTTCAGTCCCCATAACCATTGATGCAGTATCCGCCTTACTCGACTCTGACCTGAATATCACACTTTATGGGTTTCATTATCCGCATAAATGGTCGTTTGTGTCCACACTTCTCGAGAAGGCTGTTCGTGGTGCTCGTCTCACCATTACCACACCTCTCGAGGAGATGGACGGCCCTATTCGACAACTCCGCATCGATGGTAGAACAGACAGGAGCTTGTTTTACCCTCGCATCATTACAGTGATCGACCGGACTCAAGGTGGCAGGGAAGATGTAGGTTTGATTCACTTCTTCACCGGAAGATTAATTGCAACGCCCTGCAGCCATTAGCCGATTTTTCCACAGGTCACCCAAGTTTGGCTATCGTTTTCCTTCCATTTTCATCTCTGCAGCTTCCAGAGCATGCAGCGTATCTTCCTGTCCTTGTCCCTGCTCCTTGCGCCATAGACAGTCTCCAGTCTGAGGATGCAACTCGCAATTCCGCGCAGGAGGCGTGGGACCTCTTTAATGTCCCCAGTGACAGGGTCCTTCAACTTAGCGATACTGCTTCATGCGTTGTGAATGCTGATGTGATTGAAAGTCTTCCTCCATATCGAGCACATCGTGCTTTTGATCGCATCTTTCTTCGTGGTAAGAAGAAATCGGTCAAGCTCTCAACCAATTCGCCGCATACTTTCACAATGTAAGTCTTGCTGTTATTGATCACTGATGTAACTCAACATTGAATCCAAGACTTACCATGGTGTCGCTTGTGCTTGGCGTTATGGTAGGATCCACATTCCGCGGTACTGCACCTGCAGTTACCCCCACCCCTGTCACCACTGCCGTGGCATCTGCCGCTTCAACGCCATTCCTTTGGGCACTCCTCTACCCTGTCATTAATCGCTCGCACGAATCGATTCCAGCAAAGACCGAGTCGACAGCAATATCACTCCATTCTTCTCTGAAAGACTTCGCCTTGTCAGTATTCAACCCAGACCCCACATCGGTTTCTATCTTTCAGGAGACCTCTACATCTGGGTTCCGCAGCACATCTTCCTTTTCGGAGAAGCTAAAGCTTTCCAAGGATGTCATCCTTCGTCCGACTTCTTCCCTCATGTCTCTTGAAGGAAGCACCAATTCACTATCTGTCGTTCCTAGTATGACATCCTCAAAGGCCCATGTGGCAGAGGCAGTGCCAACTCCGTCTTCGTCCGCACTCACGTCATCTACTCTTGGCCTGAGTTTCTTGCAGGACTATCTTCCCAAATTTGTGGACACGCATGCACCTGCTGTCCTAGCTGCTGTCAATGCTGACATGCAAGATATCATCGACGCTCTCGATTCGCTCGTCCAAGCCATTTCCCGACAAGCTCACGTCATGATTGCCCAAACTAATGCACTTATCCAGTATTCGACAGTGCAGTTTGAGCAAAGAGCTCCGGAATTTGAGGCAATCGTGGATGCTTTTAACGCCCGTAATGAGCATGCACAGCGTCGTGCAAAGGAGCTCAAGGATAATGGGGCGAAATGGCTTCATGAAGCTGGGGAAGCTCTAATGCACCGTGCTTCACGTGCGAGAGGAAAAGCCAAGAGATCACTCAGGACATGGAGCAGATCTGGGCTGAGTCGAGAGAGAAATGGGAGGTGTCTAAGATGCGTGGCGCACAGAGGCGCGGGCCGAGGAGGGGTTGTAATAAGGCGAAGAATTGTAGGGGTGGTCGTTCAAAGAAGTGCACTGGCGGGTGGTTGACACATGCTCACTACTATTGAAAGCATGTTATGTCGCTGATTTCATTCACTCTATGGTATGTTGTATGACGTGTACATTATGTATGAAGATTGAATATTGATCTATGATTGAATAACGACTGGTCGTATTGGTTCATTCATCAGCTGTAGGCCGGAAGATGAACTATTTTATGATGATGGCGACCAAGAATGAGATTACCGGCAGAAGGTTTCTTTTCAGAGCAGCTCTGGTCACTCCTATCACGGAACCCGCAGTCATGCAGTGTTGCTTATGGTACTAACGGAAAAGCTGCCCAGCCGGCCCCGGGGTACAATGACTAAATTATTATCACGTGACGTGATTTCATTCACATATGTAACCCTTGCTTGGCGGCCCTGTGCGGTACTAGGGTAAGACTTACTGTTATTATCTTCGAATTTGACCTTTTGATTTGTCTATAGCCAGTCATTAATCTCTTGTAGCTTGTTGCAACTCAATCAACCACTTAACTTGTTTGGTGATTACATTTATTATGCATAATCAGCGACACTATCCATATGTTACGATCCCCCCTGGAGCGACTCCTCTACCCAACCTTAGCCCACTGCAGGCATATCAAGACGAATTTGAACATAATGCGCCATCCGGAGACCTCTTGAATCCATGGGACCAAACACCTACAACTCGACATCCGAATGGCAGACCAGGTGAACTTCGATCACGCCCTCGTACTCGGAGTGCATACGAGCCCTTACCACCCACCATCTCCTTTCCTGAACCGGAGATACATCGATTTGCTTCTCAACGAACGACCCTTCACCCGTATTCACCACGCCACCGTCCCAGCAAGTCCGATGACGGCCATGGTTCTCTACCACCGAGCGGAGACCATAGTACGCGGCCCTTCACTCCAGTAACACCCGACTCTGCTTCATCCATGCATTACCCTCCTGAGGACGATGTACGTGTATAAAATGTAAAGTCGACGATGACGTATTCTAATGACCTCTTCAGTGGGAAGCACCAGTAAACCAACTGACTCGAGAACTGTCCAATGTTTCGTGAGTATCATGGTGGTTTGTTTAATGCGATAGATATTGAAAAGAGACAGCCTATATTCTGAGGAAGGATTAAGACTATTCCAAGCCGGTCATCAATTAGCAGAGAAGGATGAAGAATGGCACCGGCTAGTTCCTCCTGAAGCCCAGGAAGCACTTGGCAAAAAAGAAGTTGAACGACAATCAGTGCTGTTCGAGCTGTTCAAGTCGGAAAGGGACTATGTGGAAGATCTTAGACTTGTCACAGAGGTGGCATCCACCGCTATCATGATACAAACATATCCAGCTAATTCTCTCCCGCAGGTTTTTATCGAGCCTTTACAGTTCGCCAAACCTCCTGTCATTGCTTCCGACAGGTTACGTCCCTTTGTCCAGGAAGTGTTTTGGAATTTGGGTCAGATCTCTGTGCACCATGAGCGTATGCTGGCTGCACTCTTTGAACGCCAATTGGATCAGCATCCGCTGGTACAGAGCGTGACTGACATTGTACTTGAAAGTGAGTTCACAAAAAAATACTGAATAGCTCACGTTCAACACCTTTTAGCCTGCTTTCAGTTCCAAGCAGATTATGAGTCCTATATCAAACACTACCCAATCGCAGAAGAGCGGCATCGCACTGAACTCAGTCGCAATAAAAACTATCAAGTGTTCATACAAAAATGTTCTCAAGATCCTCGGATGCGCAAGCGCGACATGATCACCTTCCTTTCCAGACCAGTGACTCGCCTCCCACGCCTGCATTTGATCCTTGAGCACATTCAGAAGATCACAGAACCAGGCCATCCGGATCTTGAAGATCTGCCACTTCTCCTAAACATTTTGAGCGACTTCCTGAAGAGCACACAACCTGGTATTGCAGCCGCAGAGAACAGAGTAAAATATTGGAATGTCTGTGAAAGTTTGACGATGCCCAAGGGACAAATAATGGTGCGTTCTGTGGACGTCATTTCGTTCTTCGGCTGATCGAGTGCAGGATTTGGATTGGTATGACGACAGTCGGTCACTGGTGTACTCTGGCCCTGTAGCTCGAAGGTCCAAGTCCGAGATGGATTGGCACCCGTGGACTGATCTGTTCGCCGTCTTACTCGACAACTATCGTAAGTTATGTATTTGTCTCTTGCTCAACTTGGGGTCACTGATTTATCGCAGTGTTGCTCACTAAAGAGGAGAGAAGAACGGGAGGAATCCTCAAGCGCTACGTTTCGTCTAGAGTAAAGCCATTTGGGTTCTTTTCACTGATTTCATTGAAACTTATGTTTACAGCCTATACCCTTAGAATATCTCAAACTAGGAAGCTTCGAAGGACAGCCAGAAAGTAGGAGGGAGCGGTCTGAAGAAGGAGGGATCTTGGACAGCTTGCGCGCACAATACAAACCCATCTATCCGTTCACGATTTATCACTCCGCAGATAAATTGGAGCGGCGGTATACTTTATACGCGCCGACCGAATCTGCGAGAGAAAAGTGGCGGAACGCTCTTGTTGAGACTAAGGGAATAGACGACGTGCGTCGAGATGCAAACAAGGTGTGTACATCCGTATCTGCATGTTGGTGCGCTTTTATTCAACTGATTAGTGGTTTGCACCGCAACTCGTTGACGATGGCTCCTTTCGATCACCAGGAGCTTACACTCCCCGCGGCTTTGGATCTAAAGCGTCAGGGAGGGTTGTCAACGCTGTGTCCTTTAGTACGCATCATATTACTGCTTCCTCATCTAGTTCGCTTATGATTGATGGTCTATCTAGCTGCTGCCGGCGGCAAGAGGCTCATGGCGGTTGGCTGCGCCACTGGAATCTATGTTGGTTTAAGAGGCGATATCAGTATGAAATATTCAGACACTAACTTGTTCCATCACTGATGTTCACCTTCAGGCTTCCGCAAGATATTGTCATATGGCAATCCTTCCTCTATCATAGTTTTACAGGAATTCAATAAGTTCATCGTACATCATGAGAGCTATTTGCTCTCCTATTCCTTGGACATTCTCGCTAGAGTCGCAATGTACCAGGCCCCTGCAAGTAGCTTAGATGCTTCAATGGAGAAGATTGCAGGGGAAGATGGGACCGTCTTATTTTGTACTGTAGGACGAATAAAACAACGAATGATAGGTAAGCTTTGACCTAACTCGTACAACTATTTGACTCACACCTCTCACCAGTTATTTATGCTCTTAAATCATTCTTTCAAATCACAGTGCATGCTTTGGAAGCCTGCAACCTTTCTGAGCTTCGACGAACACCATCACGAGGATCTCAGGGTACCATATCATCGTTTAGACCGTTTGGCGAAGTGAGTGGATGTGACCATTTCCTTTTGATATGCTCATACTGTGAACCAGCCATTGTATGTACCAAAGGATGCCTACTCCGTTATGGCACTAGCCAAGATGATCGCTATAAGTACAGAGAAGGGCATCGTCATCGCCGATCCGACTGAGTATGTTGCTTATCCTCCGCCTTCTGTACTTTACTAATGTAGTATTCCAGCGCAAGCAGGCAGATGATCCAGGTTGTCCCGGACTTCAGCGGAGCAACCTGCGATAGTACAGACATGGCCGACCTGAAGACTCGCTGTGAGGATGCTAAGCCCCTCGGCTTAATTCGGACTGAAACCCGCGAAATATTGGTCATTTATGACAGTAAGTCTTCTCGATTCAAATTACGTCCATAATTCATCGTACCTCCACTATAGCTCTTGGATGCTACATAACGAAGCAGGGCGTCCCCCACCGGAAATGCGGATTCATCCTCTGGGAGACGAAAGCTACGTCATTTGCCCATCGCGGGTCTCATGTGATGCTGTTCTCCCCTGAGTTTATTGAAATTCGGAGCATTTCTACCGGTAGACTTGATCAAGTCATTGAAGGGAGCGACATACGTTTATTGATGCACACGAACCTGAGATCTCACTCGGTCGATGATCCATTATTCGTAGCGATGCGTGGGACCAAGGACGACAAAGATGGCGTCAGCGACAAGATAATAGAACTAGTTCGAACTGGGGATTTCAACTCCACACAGACACCGATGACACCCACGCCAGTGGACGGTCTGTGGGATGAGTGGGACATGTAAGCAATCGGTGTACCAGAGGAAGCTAATGCATAAGTTATGCTACGTAAACGTGTTTCGTTAGGTGTACTATTTACATGGCCATGTATTATAAATCACTATTGCTTCGCTATGATTCTTCCAGTAAGGAAGGGATAATTGAGAACAGGCAGTGGGAAAGGACTATCAATCACGCCAGCTCTAATGCTATAGATCCTCGGGGACGGTCATCGGGAGCTGATCTATCATTGCCTTCATGTAGTACCGCATACGGAGATACTGGGAAATCACAATCATCGTGGGGAAGAAACAAAATATGATGATAGAAACAGCCACTGCTGGTGATTTTACCGCAAACGCCAACTCCACTGACGTTACGACGAGAATTCCAACCGCTGGGATTGCGTGCAAACTTCCAAAAATTACTGCTCCAAGCTGCCGTGGTTTTAGGTGCTTGTGCGTGAACGAATGACTTGAAATGCCTTACGTGAGAGACACCCGGCACGCTAGCAGTGATGTGCAGGCTGATAGTATATAGGATCAGCGTGAGGGTAGCCACCAAAAGATTTTCAGATCCTGATATCGACTGAAGGCTACAAAAATAGCAGAATGTTGATTGGAATGTCAGGGATAATCCAATTAGGATTGCACTAACGCTAGAAATGCCATGAGCTTTGAAAAAGAGGTCGAGTAAGCGACTGGGGCTTTCAGCAATGTGAACACTCACTATATTCAGATAAGTCTTCCTGCAGTCTTGTAAGTCTCTAGCAAGCGCGGGAGATACAAGTTGGGGAGTAGAATGCATCGTGGTCTGAGATGATGCAATAGTTTTGTCCTGGAACATCGTCGTGCAGAGGATAAAGAAATATATGAGTGAATCATAAATCTGCAGCACTTTTATACAGACGGAATAAGCTTTCACGTCCAGACAGTGATCCGCAGTGTCCCCATAGCTCGCAGAAGCGCGGGGCCAATCACTCCTGCGGACGTTTTGCAACCCCCATAGTAAACCCACAGGTAGTTATGTCCTCATCGATATACATTCGCAGTGTCTTGGATTTGTGACCCCGCTAACAGAAAATTAGATAGAATTCAATGGATAAATACATCACGTTCATGACAAGGGCTAGACCATTCGCACCCTGGATCTAGAACTAGACCGTGATTAATATAAAGTGCTACAGGAGCAAAAGGAGAAATATAGTAAACAAGTTCTGTTACTACCCATTGCACCCCTGAAGAAGCTGCGTTTGCCGATTGAACATAGACGCTCAATGAGTCTAGACCTCGGGGCAGGATGCATGATGATCCAGGCCAGGGACAGATATCAAGACGAATGTGCTTTCGTTTATATCCGTCCCTAGTACACACGCTTGCTGTACCAATACTGTACAGAAGGTGAGCATAAGATATGACTTTAGCGGGCTAAATCAGTACCTGTACAGTACAATGCGCTATTTCGGAATAGGTCAGCCTGGGCAACGCTAAAATAGTACCTCAAGAACTGACAGGCCGCAAAGCCTACAGTGAAAGGTATGAGCACAGGAGCCAATGACCACCCGCGATTACACCAGGCGGGTGGGTTACCGTATCAGTAAACCGGTGAGCCACCAATATTCCCAGTACGGTCCTCAGGCTTCCTGCATGTTCTCAGATGAAGCATGAATGTATCGGCATTCGAACAAAAGTGGCGGAGATTGGTGCAGATTTGTACAGCGATAAGGAATGATCCTATTCGTTTGTGGTAAGTGCATGGGATAGGCTACGCCAGAAGCAGAAAAACAAGTAACTTGCTGTGGCCGGTGTCTCAAAGTCCCTCGCGACCGCTCACCGGTGGTCTCGGCCACGGATAAAAGAGTCCGACAGTACTTACAGGCAGCTGGAGGCAGAGTCCAGACCCATTACAACTACTTCTCGGTAGATCAAATGTCAGGTCCAACTTGGGAGTTGAATGCTGATATAAGTGTAAGCCGGGACGGCTTACAATAAGGCCCTGATCAACAATTCTGTCATCTTTCAAGTTCTTGGATCCAGAGACGAGAAGGAGAATCACGGCTGTGCCTCTCTGAGCACATCGTTTGAAGTCTTTACCATACCTCTCTTTGGTACCACGGCCGCATAGCTAAGCCTAGTAGATGGTCACTGCCAGTCACCTTCATGATGATGTCGCGTTTAGACAAAGCACCCGACTTCGGTGACAATATACAGTACCGTCCTAAGTGGTCATCATGATCTTTCTCAGGGACTATCAGCATCGATCAAAGCCAAACGTTCACTAGCTAGTTGCTGGTGTAACGAACAAGTCAGTGTTTGGAAAGCTGCGGTGGCATACTCACTTACTAGTAATAAGTCGACAGCTTCCGAAACCCGCTGAATCCGAAAACGCACTGTCACCAGTGCTAGGTATCGTGTCATTGCTCTGGTCGCACATCATCATACTCTTTCAAAATGACCATAAAATCTATCGGGAGAATGATTTCCAAGCATACCGTTCGTCAGCTCAAATTTATCATCCCTGGAGCTGCAATCACGTATGCATTCAACACCCATCGCGTCTTTCTGGAGGTGTTAACCAGACAAGGTGTAAAAGGGCAGTGGGGAAGGTGGGCCACAATCGACAAATTTCTCAATAAATATTTACGGTTGATCAGACTGTTTGCATTTACTTCCATAGGCTTTGAAGGACTTGTGATCATACTGTTCCTCTACGTCCTTCTGGTACCGTGGATACATGGCCTTGAACCAGATGTCAGTTCTTTTCAATATCGTAGTGGCATAGCTGACAATATCTCAGTACCAGTCTTGGCGAGACTCTGGAATACTCTCTTCTGTCATTCCAATCTTGACCACCGCGATCTTGGTCGGCTGGTCGCTTCTGTCCTTTACCCTTGGGAGGTGGTCTAATTTGGGATACCTAGAAGGAGTAGTAGGGGGTAAGTTCATGAACAATAATCTGTCCGGTGATATACGTGATCTCGGTTTTGTATTTCAGCGTCAGGCTTGTATGCACTCACGTTTGGACTATTAGGCCTTCTTCCTGCCCCAAAGGTTCACCGCTCATGACACTATAAGTAAGGATAAGGACTGCAATTACCGAGCTGTCTGACAGTTCAAACGTTCAGGCACTACGTACGCTACAGCAGGTTACCGCGACAGCGTTCTCTCGCGATGAATCGATCATTCACATGGACATAATGTGTTACTAATTTATGTGGTATGCAACATTACGTCGTACTTGGAAATTGTATATATGGGAGATGACACATATATGATGTCGGAATTTTGTAGAATATCGTGATTCTTGAGCGAGCCGGCACCCGGACATGATTCGCATGTGCTGATTTATAAGGACGAGTTGATACATAACTTCCAATGACACGATTAATCTTAACAGTTCACCATGTCTCCCAATACCTTCAAGCAGGTCGTCCTTCGCGAACGCCCCGTCGCAGACATTCTCCCAGATACGTTCGAGTCCAAGACGAAGGCGTTCGATGAACTCCATGTCGGCAAGAGTCAAGCTCTAGTCCAAGTCACGTACATATCACTGGACCCTGCCATGCGTGGGTGGCTCAGAGACGTGCGAAGTTACGTCCCTCCAGTGAAAATTGGGGAGGTGATGCGTTCGGGCGGGCTCGGTGTAGTAGTGAGCGTGGGCGAGGGGAGCAAGTTTCAGAAGGGAGACCTGGTCCAAGGAAGGTTTGGTGCGTCTACGCGAACAGTTCTTTTCTCCCAGCCTTGTCCTTATGTTACGCGTAGGATGGACAGAGTATGCAGTCGCGGATGACGAGTCAATGGAGAAGATCTCGTAAGACTTCCTTCTGCATCGGTATTATGTCCTTATACCACGAATCACAGGCCACCTCCGGGAACGACGTCCTTGGACTTTTTGAACACTCTGGGCATGACAGGTCTGACTTTTCACCTTACATATATGCTAGCAAATCTCACGTCCACCAACAGGCATGACTGCATACTTTGTCCGTTCCGCTCCTGCCGCCGCGTCACAGCGTACTGATGAAGTTACAGGGCCTTCACGACGTCGGCCAGCTGAAAGCCGGTGAAACACTAGTCGTATCGGGTGCCGCTGGTGCAGTCGGTGCCCTCGTCTGCCAGCTCGGAAAGCAGGCCGGCGCGCGCGTGATTGGCATCGCAGGTACATCAGACAAATGTGCCTGGCTTGAGAGCGACTTGGGCGTAGATAAAGCGCTCAACTACAAGAGCCCTACTTTCCGTGAGGATTTTGCGAAGGCTGTTGGGTATTTGGACGTGTACTTTGACAACGTTGGAGGCGACATACTTGAATTGGCACTCTCGAGGCTGAATCAAAATGCGAGGATTGTTTTGTGTGGTCCGTGACATCATTTCTACAGCTGCAAGGACTCGTATTGATGTGCAAATGCAGGGGGTATATCCGCTTACAGTGAGTGTTTTCATGAAACCCATAGGCTTGAAAGCTCATCACTTGTGTGCTAGACGATCCACAACCCAAAGGTCTTAAGGGGTATCTGACGCTCATAGCACAACGTGCCAAGATGCAAGGTTTCATCGTGTATGTGCGAGTGAGGACCGTATTTTACCACATTACTGACTTTCTTCATAGTTTCGATTATGTCGACCAGTATCCGGTGGCTGTCAAGAAGATAGCAGCTGGACTTGCTGATGGATCGATCAAAAGCAAGTTCCACATCGTCGAAGGTCTCCAGAATGCTCCGAGTGCGCTGCCTATGCTCTTCTCTGGGGCGAATGTAGGAAAATTGTGCGTGTCTTCGGTCTTTTTCTCATTGTATGCTTAGAAGGCTGATATGGCGATACAGAGTTGTTAAAGTTTCAGATGAGCCCTCTATGAGTTCGAAGCTGTAAATTCTTCAGGATTCCTTCACATCTTGCACTCAGCCACACTGGTACACAGAGGTGGACTGAGCCGTTTAGAATCGCTAACTTTATTAGTATTTGTTATGGTATCTAGTATACTGGTACTTTCAATTGCAGTTCTCTTGCCGCCGTTCACCGGCACTACGGTGCATCGTCGATAACTTAAAGAACACCCACTGTCACGTGGCTCAATAAATTTGGTAGGCGTAACAACAGAGCAACTTGATGAGTACGCATGGGCACGAACTTGCTGATAGGCGCAGGTTTCGGCAGTTTCATTGAATACTTGATCGTGCACTGCGTGTTGAGGCTGTATCTGAACCCCTCAGACCCCCAAGACCTTGTATGGCGAATATCATGGATTGGGCAATGTATGTCAAACACACTAACTTTACAAGACTTCGAAACTGATTATTGGTCATACAAAAGTATCATCATGCACGTCTTATAATTTAGTACGTACAAGCGGTGTTCCCTTGAGAGCCTCGTTGTTCATCGATTCTAAACACGGTCTTCAGATATATTGTCGATCTGGATCTCTCGCGCTTTCCCCCCCATGTCTAATTCGAATGATTCCGCTCGGTCGCCGCGTCGTGGGTTAAGGCCTTCGAGGTACCCGTATGGTGCGAGTTTGTTGTCCTCGTAGTACTGTTTGTGAGCGCGGAGGAAATGAATGTGGTGCGGTGTAAGCGCTGCAAGAGGACAGGCCATCAGCACTGCATCTTATGTGAAGAGAAGATACCTACTCCGCGTTGCAGATCCCAAGAACAGCTCATACACCAGAGCGGCGAGAATCGTGGCTGGGATATTCGTCAGCGCGGCGACAGCTGCATATGTCCCTCCTGAGGCTTGGCTTCCCCAGATGGTTACGGCCATGAGGCGTCCACCGACATCACGGGCAGTGTTGGCGGCAACTGAACCGGAAAGTCAGATCAAGAAAAAATAAGAACGTGTGGTGCGTGACTTACTTGCGGTAGGCGAGTACCCCCAGACTGCAACGGCACTGAGGAGTGTTAATATTGACAGAGGACATAATCATGATACGCACTATGCCATCCCGACGAGCCAAGGTGCGGCTGCTGGCGGGATCATCTGGTTAGTGGGGTCCAGGGTGGCCCAAATGACAAGGCCGATGAGGAAGTCCTATGAAATGATGGTGAGATAAGATACGTACTCGGCGCAAAGTATATTCACAGTGACAAATTCATTCATAAACACGCGGGCCAGGTTCGTCCCAGGGGCGACATATAGACCGAACACGCCGGCTGGCCCAGCGCTGGAGAACATCATGCTGTGGTACAAGCCTTTTTCAACCAGGATCTTCTCTGCAACCTTTGGAGAAGTAAGACCGCGAAATATTGAGCATATTTCGGTATTCTACGTACCAGGAGCAAATCTTTCCATTGAACATAGACGATTAAGCAGGTGATGTAACCTGCCAGAATCTGTGCTATGATATATCTAAGGAATACATCAGCGATGTTGAAGGGCACGGTGATTATCACGAACCTGGTTGCCTTGTGTATGGGAAAGTCTCGGAAGATAACCGATGCAATTGTGACAGCTGGATTGAAGTGACCTCCTGAGGTCGCGGCACAAAGTGAGATGGCAAATACGACGCCCATGGAGTAGGCGAAACCGATCGTATATAATGCTGTGGGGTCGCCAGTGAACAAATTCTGGGATAAAAAGGTAGAGACTTACATCCTAATCCACTATTCCCTGCGAGAGATCCTACAATAAACGCAGCAGTGGCTCCCAGACCTGCATACCAAACGGGGATTGTGAGTGGGGGAGCCGAGCGCTAGTCAAACGAACAGACCCGCATAGACGTAAAGAAACACCCCCATCTACACGAAGCATGTTAGCCAGAGGATGCCATGAAAGACAGAAGGCAGGAGATACCATTTCTGCGACGATTTCCACGAGCCAGTGTGCCTCCTTGTGTTTGAGCCTCTCCCAAGAGGTCATCCAGCGAGGCCTTGGTGCAATGTCACTCAGGTAAACTTTGGAGTGTGACATGGCTGTAGCTGTAAAAGAGCGAACGGAGCCTGAGGTTAGAAAAAGGGAGGAACAAGTCGAAGCGCCTTTTATTGCCAGGGTCCCAGTGAGAACCCATGAGGCGGATACTACCATTCCAGGTGGAGACTAACCAGACTCAGAAATGAGAGAAGATGCATTTACTAGGAATCAAGCGCCGGATGCAACGCAATCATGATGTAGCAGGCTGTCAATCGATCGACGATCTGACCGAGTTTGACGCGTGAGTTCGGCTATGAATTGGACGATCGGCGTCATATGTAGTAGGCTCACAGATTCCCCGCAAGTTTGAATGACTTCTTCCGAGGAGAGCTTCTTGCGAGTTTGCAATGAATTGGCTGAGATTCACTTGAATTCAAGTTAGTGTTCAGTGCAAGGTCCATATGGGGTTTGCGAATAGTACGCAACAAGAATAGAGCTGATCTCGTTCAAATTTACTTGGCCGAGAACAAAAAGAATAAATGGATATGTTTGATAATCATCGCCCCTGGAGACCCTCATCCGGACGAAAACCCAAAATCTTTCATCGTCACTCATGGCTCCAGCCTCCAGCCTCCACTGCAAGGATACAAATTATTGTCTGACGTGTGACGTTGACTTGTGCAGCAGTATACGTGGCAGATACAGATGCTTGCATGCTGCCACCCTCCATCACCATGGCACTGTAAGATTACTTGACCCCAGAATATCACCTATGACTGACCTCTGACACGGTCAGGAAAACCACGGGCATACCTGGCCGTTCGTGACGCGTCAATGATGGATCATGATCATACCATGACTTCCCAAAACGTTTGGTCTTTACCTGGACAAAATATGACCCACCGGAGCAGCCAAAGCCCGTGTAGGCCAATTGCAATCATCATTAGAGGGCGTCCCAAGCAAAAAGTCACTTCTACGGTCCACACACTCCGCACTTATGAACATTCGGTAGTTGATGACGAACCGGAATATGTCATTCATCCACGTCCGAGGACTCAGCGACCGGTACATTCTCCTCCACAGCCCAGGCGGAAATTGTACATAGAAAGTCTATTGCCTTCAGCTTGACCTGCCGATCAGTAACTGGTGAGCAACGAACATCCATGAATTAGGTATCTTTCAAACGTGACCAACGCAACAGAGCAGTGGCAACCGCTATTCGAACTTTCCGCTCGTCATGGCGTATGCATAACGGTGACAGGAATCTGTTCTACCCATTCTGTTCAAGGGCCAAGCGTGTTTATCTCTTATCTCATCGGACCGCTCTTCCTCCTGCGATATGTTCTTCGGCGACAAATATCTTCGGGTACGACGCGGAAACGGAATGACAAGTGACATATCCCATTCCTGTTGGTTTTATGCGCCGTGTCATGTTTGACGTGAGCGTAAACGCTGTTAGAAGATCGCGTTCTTGCACATGTGCGCGTTCCGTGCTACTGACAGGCTGGCACGCTAAAACATACAAGTTTGGAGATAATAGTATCCTCGGTCGGACTCGTTCTTTTCAAAGTTAAGAAGCACACAAATACATGATGGAAGATTTCCTTGCAAAAGTCCTATCTCCTAGGCAAGAGGTCTCATCGTCCATCGCCTTCCTTCACGTGATCCTTAGAAGCCACATTCTATGCGCTCCTGATGATCTATTTCTGATTGCAATTTGGGTTTATACGCGAAATGGCATAGCGGCGGTGTACTCCGCTGGCGCCTCTTTCTTGTGCCGTAGAAATGTGTGTTGACTCTCCCCCCAGCCGCATCTCTCGCTTCAGAACCAACGATTGGCTACGCGTTCATTTGGAAACCCAGCCATCAGTTTCTTGTCTCGTTGACAATTCAATACAGGCAACGTGCATACCACTTTAGCGGGATCCATGAATTGAACGTCCGTAACCAGCTTCGCGTCTTCTGGGGCATCCTCAGGCCATGAGGCCATTTCGAAGGGTCATATAAGCAATATAAGTTCTATATATGCTTGTGCTATTACGGCATGTCTCTTTATCTTGGGCTGTCTCCAAGCGGTCGCTTATGGCGCAACTTTGGTACTCACTCATCCCTTCTGTCAGGTCATTGCATGTTTGGCTCACTGATATCCTTGGACGTTTTAACATAAGTTTTATGTCGGGGCAGCTATCTCTCCGGGATTTTGGGTACGATGACTAGCAGCTTCAATATTGAATCAATACACTGGCGGCCTTTTGATAGATTGCCTCTACCTGCGGTTCCGTCCCACGCTATTCGGTCAGGGATAACAGTCAGGGAGTCACATACACCCTAGAGCCCAAGCTGCGGACCCTCTCCCTTTTCAATTCCCCTCGGGACACCTCCAAGTATCACACAAAATAACCCACTGGGTGAGCTGGGACAAGTTCGGTTGATTTTATTATTCTCAACCGGTGCGATTTCTCCTCTCCATGGATGTTTCTGAGCTCGCTGACTATTATTATGAATAAATGTTTGACATGTCATGTCGAAGAAGCGATCGCGTCGCGATGCATCAAAATGGCCCCGCTTGGCGAGCCGGAGCGGACTCTGTCCGTCTGTTATTATCTGTTGGTGAATCTGGTGCAGGGCGTTGTGTGCATGATTATTGTTCTAGAGCTTTGAAGAGAGCTAACTCCTCGTGGTAAGGACCCCGAGAGCGATATTCAAACTCCGGGTATGCTGTGTTTGAGCCGGGAGAGATTATCATCGAGGAGCGATGAGTGTGTTTCGAGACGGAAATGGACGGTTGATTGAAGAAATAGAGAAAGCTATGGTGTAGGCAGGGTCCATTGAAATGATTTTAGATTTGGTAGAATTTTACAAGATCAGGGTATCCGGGGAACATGATTTAGATATTTCCCGCGGGTGTATTGGGTTTCAAGGATATTGACTCTTGAACTGACTGACGACTCACCGTCGACGCCGTCTTCGACGTTGAAGCTTCTGGGTTAGCTTGCTTTTTCTCCTACAGCGCCAGCTTCAAGACA